AATTGGAACTCTTTCTTCCCTTCCTCTTCCTTTTCCTCTGTACCGAATGTTGTGACCCTAAAGAAAATTCTGTATATGACAGCTCAAAAGTACAGATGAATTGTCCAAAGGAGACTATTAAAGAAAGTTAGACCAATTTATGCTCTTCATACTCGTATTCTAGTTATATATTCTATATTGAAGAACACGCACCCCACACACAACATAGCATAAACTTACATAAGCACACACACAGAGCACGCAGTGCACATAAACACAACACAAAGAACACACCCACATAGCACAAACACACACAGAACACACAAAAGAAAAGGGTCTGAAGAAAGATGGAGTGAGAGCTTCTAAATCTGAAGAAAGAAGCAAGGGCAATTGAGATTTTAGATTCAGTCTAGTGCTGGACTTCTACCCCATCTAGACGTTTGTGTGACGAAGAATATTTGTGGCCAGAATCTGAATTTGAATTTTAAGTTTAAAGTGGATTTTAATATTTGAAATAAGTCTTATAAAAAAATGAACCATTCTTCTTCGATTGAGTCTTGAATTGTGTTTTTGGGTTGTTTTAAAATTGTAGGGGAGAGTGGTTTTAGGGATTGCCTTGGAGTGGTCTTAGTAGGATAATAAACATTTAGCCAGATGATTTAGGCCCACGATTAACGGGTCGGGTAGACATGGCTCATCATGTGTTGGTGGCCTATCTAATCTAAGATAGAAAGGTGCAAGGAAGGACCGCCGAAAGTTGCGAAGAATAATGTCTTTGTAAGTAAAGCAAATGAAGGAGATTGGATAACGTTGCTTTTCCATAGTCTATTACTCATATGCTAGATGTTGCGCACACTTCAGATCCGAGAATCAAAAGGCATCTTTAAGCATATTCTCTCCAAGTTCTTGTCAAGCATGTTGATCAATGGAATACTCACTTCTTGTTTGAAACAACCTCTCTCTCTCTCTCTCTCTCTCTCTCTCTCTCTCTCTCTCTCTCTAATAATAATAATAATTAGCTTTGATTGAAAATCCATTAAACTCAAGGTTAAACCAATAATATTTGCATGTATTAGTCCTTGAAATTATATTTAAGTAACTTTGATTACATATTTAACAATTGTTTTTTTGGAATAGACGACTCACGACGTATTCCCACAAGTTTGATTCATTTAATTAGAATGAAATGTTTCATCATACCATACCAAGTGATTTTTATAGGTACCTACCTCTCCACTCGGCTCACTAATTAAACTATCACCCTCCCAATTTTTCTTTTTATAAAAAACATCATCTTACAATCTTCGAACTTCCACTTCCTAATGGCTGGGTGAAAGCGGGGGAAAGGAGAAGAATGAGTGAATTGTTAACAGAGGAGAAAGATTATGAATCTCGTACATCAAACAAATCTGTTACATATGTATGCTTGTATATACACACACATTATTAACAGCTTATTTATGATTCTGATCCACACACCTTACAAGCATTAATAAATATCAAAGACGTCGGTGGTTCCAGAACAAAATTGCATGGTGGGTTGCAAGACCTTGAATTGGGAAACTGGGTTGATGAGGGACATTGGAAGGGGTTTGATCAGTCCAAGTTGTCAATATTAGTGCATGGATCTCTAATTGTTGGCTTTCAGCACTCTAGTGTGGCCCACCATTTGAACTGCACACATCATGCTAGCTAGCTAGCTAGCTACAATACACCATCGTGGATTAATAGCCTACTTGTCGCAGTTTTTTTATGACTCTGGAGTTTTCCATATGCTTCTAGCATTTCCCAGTACCATAATATCAGGGTATGTTTGATTACGCTGAAAATACATAGATATTTTTGTAACATATCTATATATAAATTTATTCTATAAGATTAATGCCAAGTTTTTACTTTTATAGATCTTACAAAATCAAATTTTTTAAGATACAAATTTCAAATTTTAGTTTGGGTTATAAAATTTAAAATTTAATTCTTACTTGATATCATAAAATTAACTTATGACAATGTCATGGTCCACTTATTCTCTCTTTCATTACATGATACAATGACTACAAATAAATTGTCATCATAAATATTAATAAAGACAATGTATTATTATAATATATGTGACATACGTAACTAAAATAGTTTTCTTTCTTTTTTTTTTCTCCTCGAGTCAAAAGACCAAGACAAACATGTGTCTTAGCCTATAAGAGAAATATTAATTTATGTGACTAAAATCCCCATTTCGTTATTAAATATAAAGCCAATAGGGATTTTGAATACACTAATTTAATTACCCTACAAATATAAAAAACTTAAGGGAAGGTGTAAAATTTACCCCCTAGGCTCCAATGTAGTTCCGTCAATGTTTGTGAGTAAGATAAAGGCCTTCAACTACTAGGATTCCAGTTTACGTTGGAAAGACCACGTCACTTAGTAATTTGTGGGATACACCCAATGTAGTTCTGTCAATGTTTGTGAGTAAGATAAGGGTCTTAAACCGCCATAATTCTACTCTACAGTGGAAAAACCACGCCACTAAATAATTATGGGGGCACAGAGCAGTCAACCTCCAAAATTTTTATTGGGAGATTGAATGATTCCTTAAATAATTCATAATGGAGATTTTCACGAAAAAAGCCATTCATTTTCCACAACATGTTTTAAGACTTTGGGACACATTACGGTGGGCATAATTTTCGCAGGCCATCTCTATGGAAGACTAGTCTAGCGTAGTGCTGGTCTTCTCCCCATCTAGACATCTGTAAATATAAGGGTGGAGTTGGTGAGACTCGAACTTTATAGTGGAAAAGGAACCTACCACTGGGTCCGTCCTCTTTTGCTCAAGCCACCGGTATTCAAATTGGTCCCAAAAGTGTGTGCAAAATATCACTTTGGTTCCTCAACTGTAAAAGTTTTCAATTGCACCCTTAATGTTTTCAATATGAATTTCACGGTCTTTCAAACTTTAATAGAAAATATCATGTGTTTTTAACAAAAAATATCCATGCTTTTTAGGGATGTAACTAATAAAATTAATAATGAAGGTACTATTTCTTGGATACTTTAAGTGTGTTTGGTTGGGTAGATAGAAAAAATAGAAGAATGGAAAGTGAAAGTGATACACTTTCTATTCTTCAAGAGATGAATTTTTTTTTCCCTCTTTTGTATTTGGTTGGAGCGATGAAAAGTAGAAAATATTAATTTTTTTTTGTTTGGTAGGATGAAAAAGTGAAAGAATTAAAAATTATATATACATATTTCGTCATTATATCTATATATAAATTTAATGTGTGCATAATATGTAATAAATAAATATATGCATATACAAAAGGATATATAAGTAAATAACATACATAATTACCTTTTCATCTACTTTTCTTCTCAATTTTGGAGGGATTGATTTTGGTAAATTAGAAGAAAAACTAATTCATCAACTTTTTCATCTTTTCTATTTTCCTTCCTTATCAAACATAATGTTTTATCTATCCTTCCAATTTTTTATCCTTCTAACTTTCTATCATTTCATTTAATTTTCATCATACCAAACAAAGCATAATGATTAAAAATATATTTAGCCAAATAGCAAATGGCATTTTCTATAAAAAAAATTAAATTAAATTAAATTAAATGCTCATCATCAAGTGGATAATTTCAACTCAAATTGCAAATCTTAGAGACTAAATTAACCCAATTGGATGAATAAGAAATGAAAGTTTAAGGAGTAAAAACATTAAATTTTAGTCGCACCCTCTCTAGTTTATCATATCTTCAAGAACACCACCTCTAATGTCAGATTAAAGACCTCAAGTAGAATACAATTTTATAAAATTGCCCATTTTAGGAAAAACTTTATACACACCTCTTCTAGATAGACATATCTACAATGAGGCCCCCTCTAATTTTATAAACTTTTTTACGTATTAAAATTCGGGCTTATTGACACAAATTTTAATACATAAAAAATAAATTTCAATTAACTTGAATTGGATTTTAATTGACACAAATTTTAATAAGTAAAAAATATAAATTTTAATTGACTCGAATCGAATTTTAATCGGTCATAAGAGTTCAGGTTGAGCTCAAATCGACTCAAATTTTAATATGTAAAAAAAATAATTTTAATAGACTCAAATTTTAACACGTAGAAATATAAAAATTTAATTAACTCAAATCGAATTTTAATTTGGTAAAATTTTAATATGTAAAAAAAATTTAATCATCTGAATGTTAATATGTAAAAAAATAAGTTTTTATCGACTCAAATTTTAATTAAATTTTATGTAAAAAGATTGTTTGGGATTTATGTAGGGGTAATTTTAGTATTTTAGAGAAAAAAAAATTATTAGAAATAGTGGTTTAATAGCAGGGGGTGTTAGTGATGTTTAAATATAAACTAGAAGGGATGTCAACAGTATTTTAGATAATAGAGATGGTATCCTTAATAATATAATAAATTAGAGGGAATGTGACCGAAATTTTCCCTTATAAAAATAATTAGAGGATTACAAAGACTTTAAGGCACCTTATTAACGATATTCTGGACAATTGAAAAAACAAGAACCTTTGTGGTAGCGACAAAGGCATTTAATTCAGCCACTTGTATTGAAAGACAAATCATTTAATTCGAAAGAAACAGGTTGCCTAATCCTGCTTCTCATTTCTATTGTTACAAGAGCACGCCACCGACTTTATTGGGGAGCATAGCAATCATCCTCCCAACTCTTCACTTACATACAAAATAATATATAAAAATATAATGTTACATGGACTTAAAAAATATACTTAAAAAATATACTTGAAAATCTCAATCATTGATTTCACTGTGGATTCCAGCATTTATTGGGACCCACTACTTATTCAATAGTTGAGATTATCAAGTCTAATTTTTAAGTATATTTTTTAAGTTCACGTAGCATTACTCGTATCTTTTTGTTGCATTTAGAAGGTAATCAATGCATATGGATACAAGTAGCATTCCTTGCGGGCCCTCTGTCATTGCACTAATTGTGCATTTTCTGAGATTAAAATCTTCTATAAATAAGCTCTAAAGCTCTCGTGAATTTCTCATCAAATTGTTCAAAAGTTAAAGACATAATGGCATTGTCTTTTTATCTATTTGTGTTCATGCACTTTCTCTTCCTACTCTTGTGTTCTCATCATGTTATATTGAGTAAATGTTCCTCTTCTGCGCATCAGCTATGCCATGAGAATGAGAGATTCGCCTTGTTGCAGTTGAAGCACAGCCTTTCAATTGACAAGTATGCTTCTGCTGATCCTTCTGCTTATCCGAAGGCTTATTCTTGGGGGCTCCAGGGAAATAATAGCAGTGATTTTGATTGCTGTTTGTGGGATGGTGTTGAGTGCGATGAGAACTCTGGTTATATAATTAGCCTTGATCTCAGCAGCAGTCTTCTCTACGGATCCATCAATTCCAGCAGTAGCCTTTTCAATCTTGCTCACCTTCAGAGGCTTAACCTTGCAGACAACAACTGCAGTTACTCCCAAATTCCATCTGCAATTGGCCACCTTTCTCTTTTAACAAGTCTCAACTTGTCCAAAACAGTCTTTTCGGGTCAAATCCCGATAGAAATTTTGAATCTATCCAGGTTAGCTTCCCTTGATTTATCCGGTAATGTTGATCCCCTGTCTTCTGAAAGTCTGTTGAAACTTGAAAAATCCAGTCTGAAGAGCCTAGTTCAAAACTTATCTAGCCTAAAAGAGCTTACTCTGTCTATGGTGAATATATCTTCTGAAATACCGAATATCTTGGCCAATTTATCATCTCTCACATCTCTACTTCTCAGAGACTGTGGGCTCTATGGTGAATTTCCAGTAGGTATATTCCACCTGCCAAATTTACAATCTCTTAGTGTGAGGTTTAATCCAAATCTCCATGGTTCATTGCCTGAATTTAACCAAAGTAGTCCCCTTAAGCGTTTGGGACTTGGTGGCACAAGTTTTTCTGGTAAAATACCAGATTCAATTGGAAAACTTGCGTCCTTGTTTTTGTTGGATCTCAGTGAATGTGTTTTCACAGGATCGCTTCCTTATTCCCTTGGTGGCCTGAACCAACTTGTCAATATTGACCTTTCATATAACCATTTCACAGGCCAAATCCCTCCTTCATTTTCTAATCTAACCAAACTTAGTGTTCTGTCACTTTCATACAATAACTTCACTGGCAAAACCTCATCTTGGGTTTGTAAGTTAACCTCACTCACCGAGTTGTTACTTCGTGCCAACAACATGTATGGTGGCATCCCATCTTGTCTTGGGAACCTGACTCGACTATCTAGTTTATTTCTTACCTATAATCAATTGAATGGCGGGATTCCACTGTGCCTGGGGAACCTCACCCAACTAACTCATCTAGACTTTGGCGGCAATAAGTTCCATGGTCCGATTCCACAATCAATTTTCACACTCAGTAATCTTAGAAGTCTTGATCTATTCAATAATTACTTGAGTGGGGTAGTGGAAGTAGACATGTTTCTTAAGCTCAAAGATCTAAGAATTTTTCAATTGTCAAACAACCAATTATCAGTGCTCACTAGTAACGATCCCAACTTCACTCTTCCAAAGTTCACAATGTTAGGATTAGAGTCATGTAATTTAACTGAATTCCCAAAGTTCTTACAATATCAAGATGAATTGGAGGTGCTATACCTCTCTAACAACAAAATTCATGGTCTTGTCCCCAAATGGATATGGAATATGGGCCAAAAAACTTTGGTAGATATAAGCTTATCTTTGAACTCTCTAACGGGATTTGAGCAACTTCCAGCTATCCTTCCATGGGAGAGTCTACGAGCTTTAGAACTCGCGTTTAACTCACTACAAGGATCACTCCCAATTCCACCATCCTCCATCTCTAGTTATGCAGTGTCAAACAATTTCCTAACGGGAGAAATTCCACTGTTAGTCTGCAAGGCGTCCTTTCTTCAATTCCTTGACCTGTCGAATAATAGCTTGAGCGGAAGAATTCCCCAATGCTTAATCAGTGATACCCTAATGATATTGAATTTGCATAGCAACAATTTTCATGGCACTATTCCTCAGTTGTACAGCAAAGAAAGCAGCTTGAAAGTGATTGACTTGAGTGAAAATAAATTAGATGGGCCGGTACCAAGATCTTTGACCAATTGCACAATGTTAGAGCTTCTAAATCTGGGAAACAATCAAATCAACGATATTTTTCCCTTTTGGTTGGGAACACTTCCAGAGTTAAAGATTCTCCTTCTCCGATCTAATTGGTTTCATGGAACCATAGTCAGTCACCTATCAAATTTTGATTTCCCCAACTTGCGCATCATTGATCTTTCATTCAATGGTTTTACGGGTGAGTTGCCTTCAAAATACTTCAAGAACTGGAATGTTTCAAAAATTCATGATGTTGGCCAGTCATTATACTTTCAATCAGAGCATACTTTTCAGGCATTGGACAATGACTTTAACAAGAGTTACAGATTTTCAATGACAATGAGAAACAAAGGACTTGAAACTTCTTATATCCAGATCCTAACCGTGTTCGCAGCCATTGATCTATCTAGCAACAAATTCAATGGAGAAATTCCAGAATCCATTGGAAATCTCAAGAGGCTTCAGTTGCTCAACCTTTCAAACAATGGTTTCGTAGGCAAAATCCCATCATCTTTAGGGAACTTAACGGAACTTCAAGCATTGGACCTTTCACAGAACGAACTCTCAGGAGGGATCCCTCAACAACTGACACAACTGACGTTCCTTGCATTCTTGAATGTCTCTCATAACCACCTCATAGGTCCTATACCACGAGGAAATCAGTTTGGTACTTTTGAAAACGTTTCATTTGATGGGAATCCAGGTTTGTGTGGAGATCCTTTGTCAAAGAAATGCGGAAGTAATGAAGCATCGCCACCACCCCCCTTAACAATCAACAATGAAAATTCAGACTTCCCAAGTAAATTTGAATGGATTTTTATATGCATGGGATACGGAAGTAGACTAGTAATTGGTTTGGTGATTGGGCACTTTTTGATTACTTGTAAACATGAATGGTTTGAGGAAACTTTTGCATGGGTGCAACAAAAGAGAACCAAGAAGAAGGTGAGGCAAGCAAACTGAATGCCCTTGTTTGGGGGGGGGGGGGGGGGGGGGGGGGATTCTGATGGAGTTCGAGGAAAGAATTTTCAGACTTAGCCTAAGGTTTTTTCTAGATATCAGTAACTATTTGAAGGTTGCAATGTTTATATTTTTGTGTTATGCTCTCACTTCGACTGTGGTCTACTTGGACATACTCTTTGTTTCCTTGTATGGAGGTAAAGTCTTTTAAGGCCCCTCTTATCATGTATGTAGTTTCTTTCGTTATAAGTAAATTAATTAGTACGAATACATACCAATTGCTCCAACATCTAATGTGGCTTTTCCACACATGAAATGGTTATATATTGAAGGGTTAATAGCATTTTTGTTCTCTAAAATAAACATTTTTTGTCAATTTTGTCCTCACTGTATCATTTTTTCTTCCACTGTCACATTAATAATTATAATATTTGTACGTGTTTGACCCAAAATATAGCCTGCATGTGAGGAGTTGGTTAAATTGATCAGTCTTTAAATTATACCATTTCTAACAACTAAACTTTTTAGAGAGAGTTGATGATTTATCCTAAACGCCCAAAAGAATTCAGGAATTGTTCATGGAAGAGTAATAAAGAAAGTTAGAGAATCGTCATTGTATCTGTTTTTGTTCATGCACTTGAATCTCTGTATACACTGTGTTCTCACTTGATGGCCTAACTGTTCCTCTTCGATGCAGCTGCTATGCCATGATGATGAAGTAATTCTCCATTTTCCATAATAAATTTCAAGATTTTTGAGGCATCAATATCATGAACTGGGCAACTCGGCTATTGATCAGGCTAAGCTTTCAACTGTTTTGGACCTCATTAATTTTGAAACAATTTCCAACGCTCATGTCCGTGGAAGTCCAGTGCCGGTAAGTTTGGGTGAATGATTTTTGGCAGCAACAAAAGGCCTTTGATTGACCGGCACTGCTGAGTAATGAACTGCAAAGCGACGCTCAAACGTATTAATTGGTGTGAGAAAATTCGTCCGACTTTCCTTTGCTTTGTATTATGTGGGAAAATTACACCTCAACTACCACCCTTTACACACATTGTGCCTTAACTATCAAGCTTTTTCACATTATAGTCTCAATTATGAGATTAATTTTACATTGCTTTGTTTCAATTATTATCATCCGTTGTAAATTTGAAAAATGGGTCATATTATGTTCTGCCTACAAAAATTTGTTCCACTACTAAGATTTAAGGGTATGGGTTGGGGTACTCGATTCCGGAATACTACTTTTGCTTTGGACCATGGTTTAAATTCGTAATAACAATTGATCGTAAAAATAAGAGAATAAAATAAACAATGTAATAAGATGGCTTTCCATGTGTCATGTTTTGATTAAATAGCAAGAAGGAATGTCCAAAAAAAAAAAAAAAAAGAAAAAATTTTCGATACCATAGACTAACCCAAAGTCTAAAGTTTAGTTTTGAATGCATGAATAGATTAATTAAAAAAAAAAAAGAACATAGGAAATCAAGTTTTGCCTTTGACAAGGATTGAACCCCCCCCCCCCCCCCAAAAAAAAAAAAAACCCCAATAATTTACCTAATAAAAAAGAATTGACCCCTTAACTTCTTAGTTGAAAGAATTCGGAGAAATTCAAAGGTAATTAACTGAGCTAGATCCTCTTGTTGATGACATGATATGAAGTGCAATAATCATCTATCTGCAAAGATTTTGTTTCACGTGTACTCGTTTGTGTGTATTCTTCTGTGATGCCACAACCAATGTGTGCCTTCCGGAGTCGATAGGCAATACTAGGACGTTTAACAATGATCACCTTGGGTGCTAGTGACCAGTAGTTGACTGGATATTCAGATGCATGAGATATTGAAGTGGACCAGTAGTTGGCTTGGTAATTGAGCACATTCTGACCTCTAGTAAACACAAATGGTTTGTGAAGACTTTTGCACGGGGACAATAAAATCATAATTACTATATAATTATATTGTTTATTAAAATTTAATTTAATCGTTTAAATTGCCAAATTAAACTACTAGATTACCCCAATTAAAATTAGAATATGTTATTTTCATTACAGTTTGATTTCTTGTTTGATTTTTTAGTTTTATTCTAATAGATAATATAATTGTACACTAAATACAATTTTTTAAGGAAAAAAATTAAATTTTTGATTTTTGATTTTATTTTAATAAATAAGATAATAGGACATGATTATTTGTTGAAAAATTCATATTTTATTATGAATGACTTAAACTCCTTGTTTGATTTTTTAATTTTATTCTAATAGATAGTATAATTGTATACTAATTAAGATTTTTTTAAAAAAAATTTGACTTTGATTTTATTTCAATAAATAATACAAAAGAACATGAATTTTGGTCGTAAAATTTAACATATTTAATATTCTATCTTTAATTAGAGTATTTTTTGTTTAAGTATAACATTTTAAACTTGAGTAATCTAAGTATTATACACCTATAAACTTCAGGGGGTCTTAGTATAAATTACTAATAGATATATTAACAGACATTTGACAACAGGTGTTTAAGTGTTATGTGCGTACTAACTTCAGGAGGTCTGTGTGCAATATTTTAAATCTCAAAGGAGTCTGAATGATTAAGTGACAAATTTTAGGGGGTTTCGGTGTAATTCTCCCTTATGTTTAACTCTTTTTTAACGCTCTCGGTTGTAATTTTTTAGCATATTTATGCTAGATTTTAGGGACACTGGGCCCACATTCTTAGATGAGCAAGATTAGTTAGGCCCTATTAACACGAATAATAAACATGTCAGGTTAGTCTCAAACATGAATAGTCCGATTTTGACAAGCCAAACCTGTTTTAAATATATCATGCAAAGAAAATATCTCATTTTTTTTATTCTCTCTATTTCTTGATCAGGTCTGCTTAGAGGATGAAATGATTTTTTTTTGCTTATGGAATGAGTTGGATTTCTTTTGTTTAAGGGGGTGGTCAGTTTTTTTGAAAGACGATGGTCCGAACCTTGGATTTTTAGTTCGAGTAATGCTACATTGATCAAATTTAGAGCTCAAATGACATGACAGATGACTATTTGGAGTTTTTATTGAGACTCAAATGACATGACACCAAATAAAGAAGCCCAAGTCAGCTGTCATGTCATTTGGGCTCCAAATTTGATCCCAAAATTTGATCAATATAGCATTACTTTTTAGTTTACGGGTTACGCGAGTCGAGCTAAACAGAATGCTATTAATAAATAGGTGGGTTAGTTTCCAAACTGTGGAAAGGGAGATTGTCGGAGTGGTTGTGGGATAGAACAAACAATGACCCTCTCAGTGTGAGTGGACCTATTTTCACCTAAAATTATTCATTACCATCCTATTAAACTTTTTAATAAAAAATTATTAAATCATCCAAATTATACCCACCTCATTAATGATTAATTTCACGATATTTTAACCTACCCATTAGTGATTCACCCACCTCATTTCATACCCATTTTACTATTGACATTTGACTAATTCAAGTTAGGTGATTAACCAGAGAAAAAATGCAGATTGTCTATCATAGTTTTAATTTCAGCTATGGTGGAGGGAAGGTGGAGTGATTTGCTTTGTGTAAGAACTTAAATGAGGTGAGCTTAGTCGGTAATGATCATGTGGAATAGGGTGGATTTAATAGTTTTATATTGGAACGCTTAATATGGTGGAAATGGATATTTAAAAGTGAAAATAAGCGAATAGTCACCCTCTTTCATTATCCAAATTATAAAGAATAAACGCCAAAACTATTTATCACGACAACATTAAGGTATCAATTGAGTTGTAGTTGTTGAACTTGAATTATAATCAAATTCAGTTTAATTGTGAATGACTGAGTTTGAGTTTGAGTTTGATTTTCGCGCTTACATTTTATTAAATCTTGACTCGCGGGCAAATGCTTTGAATTGAATTTAAGCTGCTATCATGTTCATTTTTTAAAGCAAAAAATGTTAAAAGGTCAAATCTTAAGGTTGAATAATGAATAGGGAAAATTTTATTTTGTCCCCTCAAAGATACATAAATTCTCAATTTGTCCCCCGAATGATTAATTTTTTCACATTACCTCGCAAAGAATAAAAAATATTGTAATATAGTCCACAATCTTATTTCCGTTTGGTCGTCCATTTATTTAGTGATGTTTAATTGGTTACTTTGACGTAAAATAGACGGATGACCATTCAAAAGTAAGACGACCGACCACATTGTAACTTTTTTTTTAAATTATGACCTATTTATAAAATATATTCTATGAGGGCAATAAAACTATGACCAATTTATGTCATTTTCAAAACATATTTTAAGACTTTTTGAGGCATCATCAACTGGACAATTGAATTAGAATCGAAAGCAAAGCTTAAGGGTTACCTATGGTTCGAACTTGCAAATTAAATCAACACTAAAATAGTTCAGATTGAGTTTATCCCTGGTTGATCTAATGATAAAAATTAATGAAATGACTTAATTGAGATGAAACTAATAATTGAGAGCCTAAATTGGGACATTAAAACTCAGGGACTAAATTAAAACAAAAGACAAAATTTAGGGACCAATAATGATTTTTACCCAAAAAACCCCTTAGGATCCAACTTTGAGATTAAATCAACATTTTTGGAATTGGACCTCAATATTGTGGGCACAATTTTCGGTGTCCGTCCCTATGTTAGTCTTGACACTTTTTGAAGGGAGGAGAATAATGAAATTCGAACTCACAACCTTAAAGTTTAACAATAAAAGTGATGACCACTAATGCTAATCTTCTTCCCCATCTAGACATATGTGTGACAAGAACATTTGTGGTTATGATAAGGGTCTTCGAGCCAAAGGTATAAAATGAAGCAAATTCTATTATATAGTGTTGACTTGAACATGGGCTTTCCCACTTCGTATTTTTTGGGATTTATATGGAACCTCAAGATTCATAATTATCTAGATCGTGTCTCATAGGATTTCTTGATGAAATTGGCAAAACATATCACATCACCCTTTTTGATTCTGTTTTTTTTTGTTTGCATGGGATGACTGGACTTAAAAGTTCAATCGAGGTCTCTATTGTTAGTCATAT